TGGATGCCAAGTTCAGTATCAAGGACTTGGGGGCTTTGAAATATTTTCTAGGCATTGAAGTGACACGGTCGTCTGAGCAGTTTTAAGCCAAAGGAATTACACTTTGGACATACTAGACGATGCAGGCGTTGCAAGATCACGTCCAAGTAACTTTCCCATGGAGCAGAATCACACCCTCACGAAACCGACAGCAAACTGGCGAATGATGGCAGCAACTATAAACGATTGGTGCCTCACCTCATATATCTTACGGTAACCCGACATGACATATCATATGTTCTTAACATACTATCTCAGTTTTTAATTCGCCTAGTCCAGAGCATGTAATTGCGGCAATGAGAGTACTGCAGTACCTGAAGAAGTCTCTCGGGCATGGATTGTTTTTACCGACAAATGGGTCGCTTGAGCTTACTGCGTACTGCGATGCTGATTGGGGTGGTTGTCAATCTACACACAGATCGACTACAAGGTATTACATACAGTTAGGAGGTGCTCCTGTCTCATGGAGGACGAAGAAACAGAAGGCGGTATCCAGATCTTCGACTGAGGCAGAGTATCCGGCAATGGCAAGTACCGTCAGTGAGCTTCTGTGGCTAAGGTTTCTTCTCCCAGAACTTGGAGTTTCGCAGTCGCATTCTACGCCCTTATACTGTGACAATTAAGCAGCCTTGCACATTGCCGCTAATCCTGTCTTTCGTGAGTGCACAAAGCACGTGAAAATGGACTGTCATTTTGTGCGTGAGCGTGTGGTTTCAAAGGAGATAGCACTGGTGAAGATCGATATTTCTTCTCAACTGTCCGAAATCTTCACCAAAGCCTTGGGCATGGATCAGTTTCATCACTTTCTTTGCAAGCTTGGCATTCGTGATCTACATGCTACAGCTTGATCGGAAGTGTTGAACCGTGTATCTCCTTGTATATATTTGTTTTTGATGACTCTTCCTATTATTTTTCCATCTTAACCTAATTACCCTAGGAACTCTGTAGATGGGGTATATTAGGAGTAGAGTTCAGTCGAGCCATGTATTATGCGCAGCTCACATACTGCGAATACTAATAAGATAAACTGTGAGTTGTGGCTCACCGTGGAGTAGTCTTGTTTTCACAGAACGGGGAAATCAAGTAAATCATTGTGTTGTGCTTCCGCGTTTTAGTAGATTTTACAGCTTACACTCATATAATTAATTTTCCCGATATACTTAATATTCGAAGCAACTAATCTTCTTTATGTTTGTGGTGACATGTCTAATTCTTTCTTTCTAATTATGTAGAATATAGTTGATATTATCGAGTGGAGAGTAAAGAAGCTTAATTGACAAGGAGGAAGAAGCTTTCAATTAATCATGCTGTTTATGGATAATTCGTGATTTGCTTCAATTTTCTTGAGTTTTCTAGATTGGTGTTGAACAATTTGTATGGTTAATTTGTGATTTGCTTGAATTTTTTAGAATGGTTTTATATATGGATAATTTGTATTGAGATATTGATATTTGACTTTTATTTTGATAGAAATTTGTTATTGTAAATTTTTAACGACAAAAACCCATGTGTACCCATGAACCTGTGAATACCTAGCTGGTTGTGTTATGGTTTGAGTTTTTCAAACCCTATGAGTTTTACCCCTGGTTTTATTCACAGAAAAACCCATGAGCTTGGGTTTGGATTTGACAAAACCTGACCCAACCCGACCGATTGTCATCCCTATATCTATATGCACCCACTTTCAATGTAATAACATATCGTATGCATATTGTAAAAAACTCCTTTTTGACTTTTTGGAAATGGCCCCATAGAGTAGGTCATTTCATTTCAACCAACATCAGGTAAGACATCCCATCTAACTTTCAAGTAATTTTCATTCTAATAACACCAATAACCTGGTATAAACTCTTATTCAAACACAATAATTAATTACTCGACTCCATTAACTATTAGACAGATTGTAGAAACTAACAACTATTTCATGGTAAGAGATGATGGTGTTGTTTCCTATCTTCTTCTGAATGGGATTTTTCACACACCACAAATTAGTCATAAACAAAATTAAAAAAATGGCTCTTTGATATATAGGGGTTGATTAGTTTTGTGGTTTTTTTTATCTGAAATCGTTACAATATTTGCATTGTTTAAAACTTATCATTTTTCTGATTTTTATACGTAAATAATTCATGCATTTTTTGTGTGGATGCGAAAGAAAAACTCATTCAATTTGGCGATATTAGAAATCAAACCAACTACATAGATTAAATGATGTTGAATAGTAAATGGATGGCAGATATAAAAGCTGTAATTAGGTTTTGGAATATATTGTTTGGTTGACTCTTGGTCAGTCGTGTAATAGAATGTGATATACAAAATTGTTGTGTGCGAGTCCTTTGATTTAATAAAAAATATCCTAGTGCAATAATTCTCGATATTTGCTCTTAATATTAAGGAAAATATTAATTTTAGTGGATGGATGAAATTTCCAATAATTGAGAGTGAACGATTATTTCCACATTTAATCTTTTTTTTTTTTACTTTTAATCCACCGAGCCCCAAATGCATATGAGTTTAAAATTCTATAAGCAAAACAACTTATTATATAAATCATAATATTTTCACCATTCCATCCCTCACCAAAACCACCATAAGAAATTGATCACCTTATTACATCCTCCACTAGTAATATCTTCTTGTTTTAGGTGAAGCTATCGCCTATCCCTTCTATCTTGCAGTTTTTCCCCTATAGTAGCTCAAAGAATTGAAATTGCACACAAAAGACAAAAAACAATTCACCAAATTGTGAATTTTGGAAGCAAACACACATGGGTAGAACCAAAACCCTCTCTCTAGGCATCAACCACTCCTTCCCCATCTCATTTATTAAAAATAAAAACATGTAACAAAAGAACAAACAACATTAAATACAAGTAGGTACTTGTCGAATTCTTGCAAAGGGGATATCAATGAATGAATCCATTTCCTTTCTTCTTTCTTTTTCTTACAAGCCGAGAAAGGCAGGCAGCCACCCCATGCCCATGAGAGTAATGATAGGGACAAGGGCTCAAAAGGAGAAATAAACAATAATAGTGTCATTGAATTGTTTGGATTTTGGGTTCTCCGTGATTTCCCTCTTCAACCATTTTGCTTTCTTCTCAAACCCTTCTTCTACTATTCAACGTTTCATTTCTAATTTGTGTAAATGAACCTTCGGCTGATTCATATGGTTGAGATTATAGTATGGTTGTGAAAAATCACTGGTATGTAAACTGGTATAATTGGGTTCAACAGATATTGACGAAAAGTCGGTTGGAAGCAGTAGTTAAAACCGGTAAGAATGATCAAAATTGAGAAAAGGGTGATACTGCTAGAACATTCAATTTGCGATCTCCTAAACAACAAGATTTCGTTTTTGTAAAATTAAATAAAAAAAGAAAGAAATTTGTTGATTCGAGTATGAACATTAAGATGTCGATGTTATCTATTGAATTCAAGTATAAACATTTGGATGTTGACGTTAAATGTTGCATTTAAATATAACGATTTGTCATTTTGTTTGTAATGTGATATTTTATTTAAATATGAATGGAGATTATATGTAGATTGAAAGACTATAAAAATGCACAATTCACTTTTTTTAAAAATAGCATATAAATTGGCTGTATCGCGGTCGAACCAAACCACTTGCTAAACTAGCGTAACTGTGTGAACCGATTTGACAATTTTGAATTATAGTCATTGGCCGGTTAAAGTAATACGAGTAGACGAATTACATAACATTTCAGTATTTGGTTGATTATTTTCTGTTGATGAAAAGTTGACCATAAAATATGCATTCCATTTCATGGTGAACAACTATTTGAAGTGCTAAGTCTACGTTTAATTTTTTTTTAACTATGTGCACCCCATGAACCACATTTTATGGCAAAAGGGGCCCTTGATTTTCCCCACCACTTCATTTTGGCAATTTTCGATAGATACAAGATTTGCACATGAAGCAAACTCTTAATAATCATCCATAAGATGAGAAAAGGGAAACACAATAATATACATTTTCCTGGGTTAGGGTTAGTACACTCATACAAGTCATTACAAACATAGCAAATGAGATCCACTTATCTCCTATATTTTAATTGAGATAGTTAGTAGCAAGTGCTATCATATCCTATTAGTTGGTTGTGCTGGTTAAATTATGTATTTAAATACCAAATCATGACAGTTTAAAAATGTTCTTCTAATGATTTTGTTATTGTACCTCTACTATTATAGTTTGAATCGTTAGTCTTACCGGTTCTAAATTAGATACAATTTCACAAAAATAACTATGTGAATTTTAGAAATGAGTATAAAAATATATAATATAAGAAATAATTGAATTATTAGATACACTTGGCATCATCAATGGAAAAAAAATTAATTGATTATAGTCATATTTCCATATAAAAGGGCACACTAAAAGGATAAACTTGAATGATACTCCTGTATTCTGGAAAAATTATGTGTTGGGACAATCCAATAATCTGCTATAAAGTCTGCCTTCTGAAATACATAATCAATTCGAACTTGTCAATCATTCTCTGGATTGCAAAGTAAAATTTGTAAACCCAAAATTTTGCACTCTTAAATTTCATATACGATTCTGATCAATTGCGCTTCGACAATGAAACCATCTCCCATGTTCATACAAACAAGCATCTCTTACTAGTTAATCTACTAGGCACTAGCTAACCATTGTGTGTTGAAAAAGAGTGAAGTACTAAGCCGTCGGCATTAATTAAAGTACAATCAAACCCCGTAATCTCCAAGGAAGATGTCTTTCTTTGTGTCCCAAAAAAAATTGATCCTACCAAAATATAAAAGAGAAAAGAATGAAGATAATAATAATTTAGAACAACTTGAGAAAGACAGAGAAAAAAGAGAAAGAAAACGAAGGAAGGAAAGAAAGAAAAGCCGAAAACAACTGGTCTGTCTGTTGCATTGGGTCCGTGACACATGATGATTTGCCCCAGAGAAAAAAGGTAACGCTAAACCCAACTAATAAAAAAAAGTTGAAGCAAACAATTGAAAAGGGGGAGTTGAAGGAGGAGGTAGAGGAAGAGTAATTATAGGCACATGAGAAAAAGCAAAACAAAAAATAACCAGAAGAAGAATCCCTCTGTAGAACTGTTCTTTCTTTTTCTCTCCTCACTGTGCTGTTTTCCTCTCTCTCACAGAGTCACAGTCTGAGAACAAAGGGGGAAAAGGTTTTTAGGTTGCACATCCAGCAAGGAACCATAAAAAAAAAAAGAAGGGAAAGAAAGTAAAACCCCAATTCAGAAATCAGGCCAAAGACCTTTTCTTCTTCATTTCTTATTGTTGGTTGAGGGGGCCTTGCTGCATTTCTCCTTCTTCTCTTCCCCTTCTCTCTACTCACATCCCATGAGCCATGAAGCAGAATGATTAAGTGAAACCAGACAACAAAGTTTGTTTCTTTTTTTACCCTCATTGCCCATCATTCCTCCTCCACCCAACTTCCCCTTATCTTTCCCCCCTTCCTTTGTTTCTTGCCCTTTTTTTTGTTTGGCTGGTGGGCAATGCGGTGGAATGACTGGAACAGTATTTGTCTTAGATGAAAATGAGGGGAAGGAAAAGAAAGGGAAGTGAGTGAGTGAGAAGAAAAACCCCCCACCCAGAGCTGGTTCCTTCTTTCCCCAAGTAGAGAGATTTCTTCGTTTCCCCATTCTGCATTTTAGGGCAAAAGATGAGGAAGAATGGTTGGCAACTTCCATATCACCCACTTCAGGTATCTCCTTTTAACTGAAAATTATGCTACTTGTGTTCAAAAAGATTGCATCTTTGTTGAAATCCTGAGTGTTCTGGAACTTCTTGGTTCTTTATGGTGTAGGTGGTGGCTGTTGCTGTGTTTCTGGCTCTGGGTTTTGCGTTCTATGTGTTCTTCGCTCCTTTTGTTGGGAGGAAGATGTTTCAATACATTGCAATGGGAATCTACACCCCCCTGGTAAACTCCCGTTTCTACTTTTCCATTCTCCACTTTAGTTCATTTTTTTCTTTTTTTCCCTGCAAGGTTTGTTTGCTGAGATCTATTCTATCAGTGGATACTTATTCCCGAGTTGTCTCTTATTAAATCCCTATCTGTCTTTTTCTTGTTGTCTCTCTTGTTGTTCCTATATGCCTATTTTTGAATTTTCATCTAATGAATGTCTTTTGGGGTTGGAGCTTCTGAAACCTAATCACGCCTTTTGATATTGCTGGTCTGAAGTCATTGGATTCTCTAATAAACTATGCTCTGGGACGTACCAATCAGTCAACATGAAGGAGCTCAAAAGAGCAGAAATTCGAGTAATTGGAAGACTAATTATGATTTGTCATTTAGGGTTGCTGCAGTTTCTTTGGTGACTTAGTGATTGTGATGGTTCCTTATGTTGCTTGGGGTACTGTTGTTTTAATACATGTTTTCATCTCGTGGATTAGATTAGTCCAATGTAACCTGTCTCTACTTTCTCATCTATGTTTTGGTAATATGTAATTAGCAAAAAGGAAAAATGGCTTTTAGGCTTTAGCTGTCAGTTTTCACTGACTTCTGAATGAACTTACATAGCTATTGTACAATAATCTCTGCTTAGCTCAATTTTACACTTGCAAGCTAATAATCGTTGTTCCTCAAAGGTCATTGAATTCAGTCATGTATTTGAGCTTCATCTGCTTTCCTTTCCAGATCATGTGTGTCTTCGGCCTATATATTTGGTGCGCAGCATCTGATCCTGCAGATCCTGGAGTTTTTAGATCCAAAAAATATCTTAAAATTCCAGAGAATGAGAAACATCCTCAGCATAAAGCCTTCAAACAAGGTACGGAATCAGCTTCATCAATGCACGATGGGAGTTCATCTGCCATTGGAGGGAAGTCAGTTGAGAAGGGTGTGGTGGAGGGTGCAAATGCAGCTGCAGCTGCAACGGACTCAAAGAACAAGACTGAGGCAAAGTCCTCTTGTTTGTTGTTAGCTCTTGCTCCTTGTACTTTCGTCTGTGGAAGCTGCAGCCCAAGTGATGAACACTCTGAGCAGTTGAGTGAAGATGGCATGTTCTACTGCAGTTTGTGTGAAGTTGAGGTTAGTAATAAATTATTAAGCTCAGTTCTTGGAAGATTTATGGAGACATCTGCTTACTGGGTTATGGTTTTGGACCAGGTTTTCAAGTACAGCAAGCATTGTAGAGTTTGCGATAAATGTGTTGACCAGTTTGATCATCACTGCAGGGTAATGCAAGGTTCTTAATTGTTTGAAAAAGCTTTGAACTTTATTTTTGTCCATCTAATTGATTTTGAGGCCATTGGTTTTTGCAGTGGATTAACAATTGTATTGGCAAGAAGAACTACAGGAAGTTCTTCACGCTCATGGTCTCTGCTCTCCTCTTGGTAAGTGCCAGAATCTACAGTAGCCTCTTACCTTCCAAGTCATTTTCAGTTTTGATCGATTCTTACATGGTTTCCTGCTCCTTGGGCTTGAGATTTACAGCTTATATTCCAATGGGCAACTGGGATTCTTGTACTTATTTGCTGTTTCGTCGAGAGGAAGCGATTTGTCTTGGATATCTCCTCCAAGTTAGGAAGCAGTTTCTCTATGGTGCCTTTTGTAATTGTAGTGGTGAGTTTGCTTGCTGATCTTTTCTCTTGCTAACTTGAATTTAGACCACCTGTCTGTTACTCATTACTAACAAAGCCCTATCTTTATAACTTCATTAGCATATGATTCCCATTTGCTTTTGCAGGCATTGTGCACCATTTTGGCCATGCTTGCAACTCTGCCCCTGGCCCAACTGTTCTTCTTCCATATCTTGCTCATAAAAAAGGTTAACTAGTCTCACTTTGAGCTTAGTATACAGTTCTTTGACAAACTAAGTCATGTTTTAAAACAAATGTGGATAGTGGGCTGTGGGGCTAGTGTTTTTACTAGAAATCTCTAGCCAAGCTGATGACTGATTAGCACAAGTAATCCTGATGCCTCAGGGAATCAGCACTTATGATTACATAATAGCTCTAAGAGAGCAGGACCAAGAGCAGCAAGGAGTTGGAGGTCAGCAGAGTCCTCAAATGTCGCAAGTCAGCTCGCTTACTGGACTTAGTAGTGCCAGTTCCTTCTCGACATTCCACCGTGGTGCCTGGTGTACGCCACCTCGTCTGTTTCTTGAAGACCAGGTAACCTTACGCATCCTGATGTCTGATGTCATTTTTTATTAGCTTGGAATGCAAGTGGAAAATCTCAAATGATCCGACCTTTCTGAATTCTGCTGATCACTATTCTCAGTTTGATGTTGTTCCACCGGACACTGGATCGGTGAGTTCCTATGGTAAAAAGACAATCAGACAAGACCAGATGAAGAAAAAGAACCCAGCTGCTGTAAAGATCAGTCCTTGGGCATTGGCTAGACTGAATGCTGATGAGGTCTCGAAAGCTGCTGCTGAGGCCAGAAAGAAGTCCAAAATCCTTCAACCTGTGATGAGACAGGAACCATCGTTCTCACTAGAGAGAGATAACAGCTTTGGTAGCAGTGGGCGCCGCATGGTCCCAAGACCTGACAACAATAGAAGACGAGTTAGCAAAAGGGTCAGACTTCCAGCTGATTTGCCAATGGAGCAGCCTGTAACTGCTGCTGGGGTCTCAGCAGGGAAAGTTTTCACAGAAACTTCTTCCTCAAGTTTGGCCCCACTTCAGCTTGAGGCTAGGAGCGCTTTCCAGCCAAGTAGAGGTTCAACAATGGTGAGCTCAGTCGGAGGAGTTGTTGTTGCATCATCTCCTGAAAGCAGTAGCCTAGACTCGCCAGATGTTCACCCATTTCGAGTTTCTTCATCGGGTGCTGAAGATTCAAGGAGGCTCACTGGTCTCCCTCCAATTGTGGGTGGTTCTAACAGCGGATTCCCACTCTCGAGATCTACAAGTGATGGGTATGAAGCTTCTGGCGGTGAAGATAGTGATAGGGTTCCTACCAGGATTGTGCAGAGATCGACTAACTGGAGCAATCTTCTCTTCCGAGCGAATCAGGATGAAGGGATCATGAGACTGAAAGCAGCAGCACCATCGTCGAGCCAAACTTATAGTGGAAAGCTTTAAGCTAACGTTTTTGTTTGCCGGTCTTCTGCTTCGTTTTGGTTTTCTCCCCCAAGTGGTAAAACAATTCTTTCATTCTTGGGCCAAAGGGATATCTGGGTAGTTGGCCAATTCACTTAGCTTATTAATATCTGTTAGTTTTGGCTTCTGAATTCTGAATACAGAAGGCGGGTGGTGGTTCAAGGTGGAAGAAACAAATGCCAATTGAGCTCATTCTGTAAAAAAAACCTTTTGCTCTCCCTGAGATCTGCTGCATTTTGCAACAACAGCTTTCCCTAACTGGGAACTGGAGAGATTTGGCGTAGTGTTCATAACGTTCAACTGTGTCTCATGAATGGCTTCCTCAGCAAAAGAAAATATGACCCAGAACTTCATTGATAGTATCCAAATGAAATTGATATGGATTTCCTCAAGTTATCTTACATCTATTATACACTAGATCAAGCCAAACCAAACCCAGAAAGAAACCAGCATATTAGAAACAAACTCTCCATTAATGGTTCCATCAGCACAACTGAAGTCTCTAACGTACTGTTATTCACAAGCTCCATGGTCCTGAGTTACAAAACACCGAGTCTGTGATACTAGAACGAATGACAGAGGCACAGAAACAAAATGGGAAATGCTTCAAACTTGTTATTTGCTTGTCAAGTGCAGACAACAGAAACAAGATGAGGCACCTTCTCATCATCGAAAGGCAAGCATACGTACTCCCTCGCGAATTCCTGCGCAATCTCTGAAGCAAGCTCCCCGCGAACAGCCTTGCAGTACATATACAGAACCGTCTGTGCAGCGAAGAAGTAGAGCAGAATCAGAGTCAAAAGAGCCGAAGTCACCACAATCTGAGCCACAAAGAACCAGCTATCCCATCCTTGATTCCCGCCAATGGCGTCGCCGCCGCCCCATTTCGCCGCTGCAATCGAGCTGGTCCAAGTCAAAATCCCGGAGGCAAGTCCAAACAAGAGAAAGAAATAGAGAACCGCTCGCCGCATCCCTTTCACCAAATACCCGCTGCGCCTCAATGCCCAAACTCCCCAGCTAGATTCTGCCACGACGATGACGGAAGAGAGGGACCAATTGAGTTTGAAATAGAGGATCACCGCGAGCAGGACGACGGAGTAGACGACGGCAAGAGCGAGGAAGTAGGGCGAATCGGGGTCGATTTCGAGGCACACCAATTCCAGACCCTTGATTACGAAGTAGAACGAGCAGAGGAAGAGGAGCGCCACCAGGGAGAGCAGGAGCTTGACGACGATGTGGGTGATGGAGAGTCGGAAGAAGGAATTGAACCCGGATTTGATGGCGGAGACGAGCTTGACGGGTCGGCCGTAGAATCCGTGGACGACGCTGTAACTTATGGATCCGATTGCGAGGATTGTGAAGACGAAGAAGAAGAGGGCGAAGCCGGCGACGAGGGCTAGGGTTTCGATTGGGAGTTGGAAATCATCGTCGTGGTGGTGGTGGTGGGGGAAAGGGAACTGATCGGAGGATTGGGAGTCCAACTGGGCTAGGCTGGGGAGGAGCGGCGACGGGCGGGAGAGAAGGGATTCTGGGCGGTGGCCGGAGGGATGGCGGTGGAGGAGGAGGTTGTGGACGGTGGAGAAGACGGTGACGGAGAAGGAGAGTGGGAGGAGGAATAGGACGGAGAGGGCGAGGAAGTGGCGGGAGTGGGCGTTGATTATGCGCTTCGATTCGGATAGGACGGCGGAGAAGTCCAGCGGCGGCGGCGGTTGGGCTGACATCGCTGTGGAGTGGGGATTCAAAGTAAGGATGGATGGAGAGAATAGAGAAATCCGATCGATTTGGATAATTTCCAAGCGGAGAACTATAAAATGCGAGGAGTGTGAACGAGTTGCCGGTATGGGTTTCTTTTTGGTCTTTATCGGCGGTCGCTGATCCGACGGACGGCGGTGGTTGGGCAAAAGTTGGCGACAGGGACCGCGTACGGCTCCGATGCTTCCATACCATCTGCCTAAAGTAATGTAAATACTAATTAATAATCCCTTTTCAGGTCGCAAATGGTTCGTTAATCACGTTTCATTATCTCCTTCTAGAACTGTGACAAAAAACGAGTCATTCTTCTTTGTTTTACACTTCATTCTTTGGTCATATTCGCACCACTAATTCTGATAATTTGTACTATAATCTAATTCATTTTTATTACCAAAAAAAAAAAAAATCTATTTCATTTTCGGCTTAGGTTGGGATGTTAACTATTGGATATGGCCCATGGGCCTACGTCTCATCAGCTCCAAGAGGGTTCGTCAAAGTATTGTCGTCAGCCCACTGCCTCTTGTGTATTTTTACTAGTCCCGATTGCTTTACCCTAGTACTCAGTTGTAAGTAGGGATGGCAACGGGGCACAATGGGGCTAGTAGTGGTAGATCCACGCCCTGCTCTGCGATTATGTAATTTGCCCCGCTCTGTCCGTGCCCCGCCCTGTACGGGTCGTGTAAAACCCGCCTCGTCATTTTCTTGTTAAAAAAATTTACTTGCTAAAACTTAAAAAGATGGAACATATATAATAAACTTAAATTGCAAGATGCAGTGGCCACTGCCACTGGCTACCGAATTCTAGCAATATTCCCAACTACAATCATAGAAATTAAAATGACAACGAAAAGCAAATTCTCTAGATAAACAAAAAATCCATCAATGCTCCCAGATCAAAAGTGAAGTGTTGGAGCAATAACATAAATCACAATCTCCCCAATCTAAACTAAAGTTCATTGACAAAGAAACAAGTTCTTCTTCTCCATCCAAAAGCAGTGATCACTAATTCACCATGCCAAAAGCAAGTTCTCCTTTTCCAGCCAAAAACAGTAGACATCAGTAGCACCTGGTGAGAGGAAATCAAGAGAAACATAATGAAAATTGGATTCTTGACCAGCTGCATATATAAACCTGGAGTTGTACAGTGCAAAAGTAAGTGAAAACCAATAACCTTGACTTAGAAATGACCATGCATAAGCTAGCTTTGACCTTTATTAGCACCCTGTCCCTGTTGCTGCAAATTAACATCAATCTCATTTAATGCATCATCAAACAACCGAGGAAACTAAATGGCAGAGAAAGAAAATGTCTGCAAATTATAACATACACGAACTTCAATCTCCACCTCTACATCAGAATCATATAGAACAGTACCACGGGAGTAATCCTTTGATGATCCAGCTATACATATATTCAAAGAAATGAAACAAATGTAAGCTATTGACAAAACTATAAACACAAAAAGGTTTTAACTTTTTAAATGGCAGTAACAACAGTGTTAAAGTAATTACCTTTTAAACCAGCAAATAACCAACTCTGAGTACACATCAATGTTTCTATGGTAATCGGGTCAAGCCTACTACGCTGTGGAGAAATTATCCTTCCACTCGTACTGAAAGCAGATTCGGAAGCAACCGTAGAAGCTGGAATCACTAAGATATCCCTTGCAAGTTTATGCAGTATAGGAAATTTGCCTTTGTTTGACTTCCACCAGCATAAAACATCAAAACCTTGTGTTTTAGGAAGAATTCCATCATCCAAATACACATCCAGCTCTGATCTTGCAATTTTCCTTTTCTTCTGAGAAGCATAGAGATCAAACTTGGTAGTAAACATTTCTCCATCTGCTGCATTTGCTTGTGAGGCCCTCATATGATTATGTTCTTCAGTATCCTCTTCTTCTCTATCTTGTTCCTCTTTTTCATATTGCTGGTATAAGATACGACAAATACCCAAAATCTTCTCTACTTCCTCTTCACAATTCTCAGGATAGATCTCACCATAGTAACAGTTCAGCACATCTTTTTTGTACCTTGGGTCAAGAACCGCTGCCACTCCCACTAAACCATGCACATTAGACCAATATTTGTTAAACTTCTCTATCATATCAAACACCATCTTCTCAATTGCTTCAATCCCACAAACACTCCAACGATCTAAAGCAAGCTTAGCCTCACAAATAACCGAGAAACACAAATTCACAGTAGGGTATTCAGTGCCAGATAACAGTGTAGTGGCATTATAAAAAGTCTTCAGCCTATCACATATTTCCTTGCTCAAAATCCAATCATCCTCACTTGGATAACACTTGTACTTTGGTTCACGAATTTGCAAGCGAGAAAATACCTCTTTATACTCTAAGGCTGTATTCAGCATCATATAGGTAGAGTTCCAACGAGTTTCACAATCAAGGGTAGGCTTCTTACCAGATGTGGTAGGAAGCTTGTTTTTAAGTTGCAAATAGTTTCTTCAAATTTTTCCAATCTCTTCGGGGTTCCTATCCAGAATCGAATGCTGTTTCGTATTTTCTCAATTCCTGGTCCAATGACCTTCAACCCTTCCTTCACGATCAAATTTAATATATGCGCACAACAACCCATGTGGATCAAAGTACCATCAACCAAAAGAGACTCCAACTCGAGCTTCTGTAGGAGCAGATTCACCATCACATCATTGGTTGAGCAATTATCAACCGTGATAGTTGACAACTTATGGTCAATATTCCAGTCCAACAAACACTGCTTCAGCTCTTCACAAAGTGCTTCGCCTGTATGTGGAGAAGGCACATATTTAAACCTGAAGTAACAGACAAATGAAAGCACTTGAGTTTCAAAACTAAAAAAGTCATGTAATTGTAAGAAACAAACCAGGCAGCAAGAAACAAACCAGTCACAAAGAACTAAGTTTTCAGAATATGGTATACCTGATAATTCGATTCTGCAATCTCCAACTTTCATCGATGTAATGGGCAGTGATTGCCATAAAGCCCTTATTCTGAGATGATGTCCACATATCAGTTGTTATAGCCACACGACATTCACTTCTCTCAAAGAGTTTCATTGTTGCCTCCTTCTCGAGATCATATAAGCTAAAATAATCTTTCTTAATTGTGTTCCTTGACACCATCTTGAAACATGGATTTAAGCTCTGGCAAAAGCTTCAAAATCCTTCATGGTCCACTATGGTCAGGGGATACTCATGCTTGATAATTGCTCTTGTAAGCTCTTTACGAGAATTATCCTGATCAAAGCTGAAAGGAGTAAGCTGGAACTTATCTTTACCCATGTTACCTTGTAAAACTTGTTGCTTTATGTCTGTGGCTTTCCTTTTAGAACATCTATAAAAGTGATTCTTCAAATGGGTTGTCCCTTGCTTCGAGTCTCCAACAAGCTTCTTACTGCAATACTTGCATTTAGCCTTTGGCACTCCATCAACTTCTACCTTATGATAATGTGCCCACCACTTTGAATAAACCTTCCCCAGTGTACCAGTACCACGCTGGTGATTCTCGTTATTATTTGTTGCTTCAATAGGGGGATCTTGAGGCTGGACAACAATAGCATTTGAAGGGTTTGGCACAACCACAGGCGCATATTCATGTTGATTTGGGTCAGATTGTGGAGCAGAAGCGTCCATGACTGTGGCTGCCGACAGGGATAAACAAATAATAACAATCAATACAACAAATTGAGATTGCAATCTGGAGGCGTAGAACGATGAACAAATTACTTAAAACAGGACAATCGGAACAAGAAATTAAGATTGCAATCTGCAGTGTAGAGCCAACTTACAAGTAATAGCAAGAACACAACTTGACCTCGGCAGCTCCTGCTTGGCAGTGAAGGAGATGAAGATGATATGCTATTATGAGTTCTGATGGTGTGGTCTTCTGCGAGCCCTTCATCTTCTATTTAAAAGCCTCTAGTTTATGGAGAAGCTAATGGAGTTATTGATGACAGAGGGAAAAGTTGGAAGATGATTGGGAATTTGGGAAGATGGAAGATGATAGGGAATTTTGGGAAGTTGGAAGGTGATGGGGAATTTCAATTTTGGGAACTCAAAATTGCTAGGGTAGATGACAGAGGCAGGCAGGTAGGCCTTGCACGCACACCACAAATTGATATTATGCGGGGCGGGGTGGAGCGGGGCATCACCAGTACCCATGCATGCCCTGTTCAAGCTGCGAGGCGGGGCAAGATCCGCTCTGTCCTGTCATGGATCGGGTTTTATCCGCCCCATCACAGGCCGGGTCGGGGAAAATCCGTCGGATCGGGCCTAAACTGCCATCCCTAGTTGTAAGGGTATAAAGCATACACTATAACTAGATTTGGGCCCGCCCGTTGGTCGGGTGTATTTATAAAATAGAATAAAATAAAATAGTTACTATACAAAGCATGATATATTTTTATTTGGGGTAAATGCCACATTTGGTCACTGGAATTACTAAATCATGTCATGTTTATTCACTGGACGGCTTAATCACGCTTAACCAATTTGCTTAATTCAACATTGAGGTTTGCCCTAAATTAACCTAGTTAAGTGACTTGAAAAGCTAAAGGAAAACCAACTCGATTGAGTCTCCCTTGAAAGAGGGATTTTCCTCTCTAATCTATGTTAAAGTGGGTAATTAGATTGCTAAGCACCAACATGCACAAACCTAAGGATGATAAGCACAATCATGCACAATCCTTAGGTTGCTAAGCACCAACATGCACAAACCTAAGGATGCTAAGCACAAAACATGCACAATCCTTAGATTGCTAAGCACAAGCATGCACAATCAACATGAATAATACCTCAATCATTGAATTAAACAATACCCAATGACAATCATTCAATTCACATAAAAGAAACAACATCGTGACTAAATGTGACATGCTTCAGTAATTCGATTGACCAAAATTTATATTAATTTTTTCTAGTGAATAAACATGACATGATTTAGTGGAGTTGGACGGAGGCTAACTGAGAGTGACTAAATGATGTTTCAGTAATTCGTGTGATATTCGTAAAAAAAGTAATTCGAGTAACCGGAGGCTAACGGGAGAGTGACTAAATGTGACATGTTTCAGTAATTCGAGTGACCAAAACTGATATTAATTTTTTCTAGTTACTAAACATGACATGATTTAGTAACCCCAGTGACCAAATGCGGCATTTACCCTTTTTATTTGATAGTATAAAATAACCCAAATTATTCTATTATTGAAAAAAATTCATAATTGAAAGTAAAAAATCAAACACATACAAGATAACCAACTCATAAGAAACATAATCAAATAAGGCTTCAATTTACTTCTCACTGTCAAAATCTACATACTTAT